GATGATGAAGCCCCACAAGACTATGTTAGAGCTCAACATAGCTGTAAGTCTAAAAGTTACAAGAGTATTCTACAATTTTCTACAAGTTTTACACAATGGTGAAGTACTTAGAGCAATAGTGCAAGGAAAGTCTTTTGATATTACAAAAGACTATTCGAGCACCCTTCTAAACTTTCCAACCAATAAAAGGTTGATGAGGCTACTAGAATTATCTTATGAAAAGACATTCATGTTCACGACACTGGTGCTATCTTGGGGGGAAAGCTTTGGTCCAGTGAAGAAGCCAAAATCCATACTAATACTTGGCAGAGTAATCTACCACATTCTATCAAGGTCAATTACTTGTAAAAAAATTTAGGGCAAACAAGCTCATTTCTGAAGACTTGAGGCTTCTGATTGCCTTAATCAAAAGATTTAAGTTGGATGTTGCTTCTATCGTTTTTTAGAAGATCAAGAACTTAGTCTAGTTAAACAAAAAAAAAGAGATGGAAAGTATCTCATCTATGGAAATGTGATTTCCAAGATGTTGGAAGATCAAAAGATCATGTATCTAAAAGGCAATGAGGTTTTAGGACATAAGGAGATCAACTATACAACTCTAAAGAAAATAGAGATCCTTAAAGAGAAAGAAGGAGAAGTTGGTGCTCAAACAAAAGCTCATTCAAAATAGCTCCTAGTGCTCAAGTCAGACAAGAGTCTCAACCTACTCAGAATAACTCATCTATCCCACCATCATTAGGTGGTGTATATCTAGATTTAGATGCTATTAAGTAGTTGGATAAGAGGTTCAGGATTCAAGCTGAGCTTTTCACCTTGTGTCTTAAGAGACAAGCTAAGGACTTCGATCAGAAGCTAAAGAAAGCTTCTGAAGAGATCAGAGAAGAGTTCAACGAAGAACTTGGCTTACTAAGAGCTCAAGTTATGAGTTTGGGAGGTAGATCAGTGAGACTATAGGACTCATTCAAGCACTACTTTCCTTTTAGGATGGGTACCCTTTATGATGTCTCTATACATGAGAATACTGAATATGGGTTTGTTGAAGATTTTATATTAGTACACACATCCAGCACCTCTACTTCCAAGAACGGTACTGAAGAGGAAATTGACAGTAACCTACAGATACCCTCCAAGATTGGAAATCTGATGGTTGGACCAGTTTTCTCTATTAATTCTGAACTAAGAGCTATGTTTGAAGATAGTTTAAAAGGGGCTGATTCACATGCATCAAACAATAATAAGCTTGCACTGGTTGTATTAAAGGTTGCCAAAGAATATATTAAGATATCTAATAATCAGGAAGAATTGGAGTCTGCACAGTCACCTCCACCTTTTACTCCTTTCTTCTCTAAGATCAACTACACAGAGGCATTTCAGGACTTGATTAGGAGAAATCCTGATTTTGTATTGTCTCCTACACCTCTCACTACCATTTTGGAATCTGGTGCAATTTTCAAGCCCCTACCAAGGTTCAAGAACACACCAATTTGGACTAAAAGTGGTACCTCTTCTTCTTACACTCCTTCCTCCAATCCTCTTGTCCCTATTCATCTATCCAAGCCCTCTGCTAATGATAAAAAGAGGGAGAAGAGTACGGATATAAAGTCTGGTAAAGGGGCAAACAATAAAGTTCAAGGTGGTGGGTTAGACAAGCATGTGGTTGAAGATTCAAGAAGTAGTAAGTATAAGGATCAATTTGTTATGAGAAGACCAAGAAGTGCCTTGCCTAGACTCAGGAGATTCAGAGCAAAGGATTCTAAGACATCTAAGCCTCAACCTTCATCTAGAACCTCTAAACCTTAAACCTTTCAACCACCTTCTAAAACACCTAAACCCTCATCTCCTACTACTACTAAATTCCATAAGTTAATAGATTTCTTTGGAATTATCTTTAAGAAATCAACTAAGTGTTTATTTATCTATTGAATATTCTCAGTTATTCTTTTGTACAACTACTTTTGGTGATATATATAAATTGTGCATTCCATGTTTATCTGTTTTATTTCTTTTAAGAAGTAGAGACCAAAGTCTCTTCGAGAACTAACACTTTACATCTAAGTTTTGTCATCATCAAGAAGGGGGAGAAATATTGAACCCTGCTTTTGATGATTACAAAATAAAGAGAAATTTTGTACATTTCACGTTATTCAACTTGAACCTAAGTTAATTGCCTTAACATTAATCTAATCTGGCTAGGGGTAAGCTTATTTGTAACAGAAGGCCTTTTATCCTTGTTAGTTAAGTATTTGACTTAACTATAATCTTAGTACTTGAAGTTGTCTTGTTCTAAAAAATTTCTAAGTGTTCTTAGCACTAGAACTAGAAGCTTTAACATCGATGCTACTTTAATTATGTTCATTGTTCTATTAATTTGTGTTTCATATAATACCGGTCGTACTTATTCCAATATCGATGTTATCCTTTAAACCTCTACAATTGATTCTCTCTTCTTCAAACCTTTTTCCTTTCACTGATACTATTTATTTAATATTAGTCTTATTCTTTCCATGCCCTCATTTAAGTAAGACAGCACATGTGTTACTTCATTAGCACCTGTACTAAGTTTTGTACGAGTATTTGTAACATCTGTGCTAACTCTTTAACATTGATACTATCCCTTCTATTCTCTTGTAAAGATGTTTGTTTGATCATGTTACTTTGGTGCTATTTCCTTTAACACCGGTGCTGAGCTATCTTTTTAAAAATCTCCTTATTCACACAAAATTGTCAAAAATCTGTCTTTTATGTATTGGACCGGTACTATTAGAACAACACCTATGCTAAGACCTTCAATTAGAGTCGGCTCATCACTATAACACCAATGTTAGAACATTTTAACACTGATACTACTATGCATTTTTATGCTCTGTTTTTCATATCAATCCCAAAGGTCACCAAAACTCATCTTTCAATCTTTTTTTTCATTTGAAATCCATTGTATTCATTCTATGTCTTTAATAAATGATATTTAGAAACAATTATTTCGTTGAAGTTATTCAGTTTGCTTATGTTTGATTGAGTCACCGAGCTTGCTTTTTATTATACCAAAATGTATAAGTTTTAATCACTTTTGTCAAAAGCATCTAATGTTTTTAGTTGTTACTGTACAAAAAAGGAAGTCTCTACTGTAAAGCATAGTTCCATTGCCTTATCCACCAAAGAACCTCAAATAAGCTCGAATATCCAAGGAAACACGAAGGAAAGAAGGAAACAAATTACAAGCAACCTCCAATAGAAAAGTTTATGAGTCTAACAGATCATTTATGATCCTTAACTATAAATAGACTCATTTATAAAACCTAAAAAAAGAAGGAACAACGTGAGCCAACAAGAAGATTCTATGATTACTTGAGCATTAAAGCTTACCTACCTTCTATGTATTATTTATTGTTAGATAGCTTCATTGATTATATAATCTACTCTTAGAGAGAGTTTAAAAGCAATAGTAGTTCATTCTTGAATTTACTCTGTTTATCCCTATTTTACATCTTCAAAATGGATGAATTTAAGCTTAAGGAGCTTAAGGGGATTTATCATTACCTTTGTAAGGGGAAGAGTTTCAGATTTACTGAGAAGTCTGTTGATGTACTGAGGCAACCAAGAGTCTGAGTTAATCTTGGTAATATAGTTAGAAATCTTAGAAGGTTTCTAAGGACTAGAAGTAAATTTAAGTGGTAGGAGTTAAACCGGGATAAATCACTTACGTCAAGCTCTGCTCTTCTAACTCTCATGATTGGTGATTTCATTCCTTCATTTCTCTTATTATTACTATAATTCATTTAAATTTTTAATTAACCCAATTCACCCCCTTTTGGGGCATTTACATATACATATATTTTTTCTTAACAACTTTTATTAATATAACTCAATGTCCAACATAAACAACTCAAAGTACATGTTTGCAGAATAGATACACTAATGTTCCTGACAGCATATTTTCTTCCTATTAAGCTTCATGTTTTATTTAATTCATATGTCAAAGTCCAAGATGAACAAGTCAATGGTCATTATTGTACGACAACTAATCTAATATAATACTTTCATAACCAACTTAGTTGATCAACCCTCAACTTATATCAGCAATGGAATCACAAATAAAATTTTGATTTCAACAACATCACAATGCAATTTTTACAATAAAACGTTAATTTTATATGCACCCTTCTACCTCATGTAAAACCCCTACTAAACTCTCAGTTTACCAAGATAATAACTAGATTTACTTTATGCACACCAAAGAGTTACTTAGCTTATCAAGCTCTTTGCCCAATTCTCATCTTTTTCCTATTTTATCACAAAAATGGTCGATGGCAACCTTGATCAATGCTCAAGAGAAAAATTTAAACCTAAGCACTAGTTAGGATGGACAAATTTTGAAAGCTACGCACCTTATCGAAGCTGAGAAATCTGCAACTCCTATAACTCAAAAACCTTCCCGCATTTGTCTTTACTCCTCTAACTTTCAGATTGTTTATTTCATTCTAATTAAGGGTAAAATTATACTTTTAGGTCTACAGTACATTATCAGAATCTATTGGGCCCAAAATGTAATTTTTTAGGTTTTTAAAGCCCTTAATGTGATTCTCCCTTCTTGTTTTAACTCAATATTTGAGCCAAATAAATCATTTTCTAGGTCCATAAAATAACACAAATTCAACATTTTTTTTTATTTTTAGTCAAAATTGGCTTTATAGTGTATTATGAAAATCATGTGAATAGATGAATGCAATAATTTAGATAATTAATTATGAAATTAAAATTTAATTTATGTTTAAAAAATTAGTTTTATCAAATTATATTATTCTCAATCTATTTGCATTTTTGTGGATTTATTTTGATTTAAAAATGAAAAATTTATATAAGTTATGGAAATAATATCACTTCCACCGACAATCCGTTGTAGTCTAGTTGGTTAGGATACTCGGCTCTCACCCGAGAGACCCGGGTTCGATTCCCGGCAACGGAACTATTTTTAATCGGTTTCACTATTTTGGCGGGAAGTAAGGAAACTATCTAAATAGAACTCAGAGAGAAGAGATTGGCGTTTGCAAGTGAAAACGGGGAATTGATGATTGCAATGGAGAACCCTGGCGCTGGCAGTAGAAGATGGAACAGAGGAGGCTTCGAGGAGAATATATTGGCCATATTCGATGCCTCGGAAACAAAGGACAGTCAAGAGTCTCGCGATGACAGTACGTGTCCCTCCTTCTCTTCTGCTCTTCTCTATCTTTTTTCTCTTTTAGCACCCAGAAATTTATGTTTGGTTTTTCAGAAAGAGAACACAAAAACAATCCTTCTTGGTTTTGAGTTAATTTTTTCTCTCTCTGTTTCTCTTTTAAAATGAAAGTAAGTCTTGGTGAATGTTGATGGTCCTATGGGTTGAATTCCCATAGGTTCTTGATCATTTGAATTTTTTATGGAATTTCTGGGCGGCCAAACGTGGGTTAAGACGGCTTTTCACTAAAAAGAACTTAATTTTTTTTTTCCTTCCTTTTTTACATTACCTTCATATGTGCAGGGATTGCTTTCCTGAATGCTGTTCGTGCTGTTTCAGTTGTTTCAGATCATGGAACCTCACCAACTTCGTAAACCCCCCCTCCCGTTACGCTGACACACACTTTCTTTTTTGTTTTTGTTTTTGTGACTCATATACACTTTCTGTGAATGGCTAAAATTGAATCCCTTTAAGAAACAATTAAGGCGTCATTTTTGTCGTTTTTTCTCCTCAACAAGGAAGGAAAGGATGCATTTTAGATTGTAAACTGCCTTTCAATAACCACTGCTGAGAAATCGGGCTATAGGATTTTACTGCAATAAGGGGCTGGCTATAATTGAAAATTTGAATCATTTTTTGGAAACACATCGGCTGACAAAGCGCCCTATGCACTGTTTAGTTCTATTCTGCTTTTGTCCCTGTTGCTGGTAATTTTGTGTCTATTCCAGTCAACTGCGTGCTTAATTTGAAATTTCAATTTGTTAAAGCAAAATGTTTGAGGGAGTTTTCCATATTCTGCGGACGGGGAAGTCTTTAGAGTTGATTATGGCAAGCTATCAGCTTCTGATTGAGTTAAACAAGGTATTTGACTGTGTTGCCAATTTACTGATTCATATTCATATGCTATACATGTAATCAAAGGCCGTAACTCTGTCTGTCTGTGTGTGTGTTGTTTTTTTTTTTTTTTGTTGCCCTTTCCCCGGGTTTAGCGCTTCCCTCGTGTGTATTTTTCTAGGGAAGACAAATCCAAATCAGTCTCTCATTCTTCATCAGAGTTGGTAGTAGTTGAGGAGGTACTATAAATCATCTTCATCCATTCTGTTATGGTTTATATTCCAGGGTTGAGTCATGAGTGTAGTTGCTAATATTGGAGTCTGATTGAAATTACTTATAGGCATTTTTTATTTTTCTTTTAGGCTTGGTCCCCGATTATTGTTAGTGTTGATAATGCCAGTACGGTCAATCAAGCAGCAGGCAGAGAGTCTGGTGGCCCTATTGACCCCTTTGTGAGTTGGTCTCTCCAGCAGTCAACTATATTATGTAGCCCTTTAGTTTTTCATTCCATTGACTTGCAATATTTTTTGTTATGCTTTTTATTCTTCCTTGATCCCCCTTTTGTCCTGTCGGTGCTGCCATATTGCTTCCATCTTAATTCTTATTGCACTGTGAATCTTATATTCTACTTTTGGGTCTTTGTTTTTTAAAAAAAGAAATCTTTGATTGAACTTCTCGACTTTCAATAATGATGTACTTGGGAACCTGTTCTTCCTTTATGATTAAAAAACGTTTGTACAAAAATTACGTTTTCGATAAAATTGCTGTAATTGAAATTTACCTGTTGTACAGCTTATTCTATACCTCTACCTTGTATTTGTTTAAGAGAAACTCGTGCTGCTTTGAGCACAAGCAAATGATGTTTTAGTCACTATTTGAAAATTTAATCCGGTTGTTTCACATATTGAGAGAGAAGGTGGACTAATATTCATTGCGCATAAATTTCAGACTACTGAGTGCATCTGCTGTTCAATAAAACCTGGATTGTTTTCTTGGTATTTGATATTTTGTGATGTTTTCCCCTGTTAAACCTTAATTTATGCCTAGTTCTGAAACTAATTTTCCTGCAAAATTTTCCATTTACCTTAGAGTTTTTATTGTCTGATTGACGAGCTTGCCGAAATGTTATCCAACACCAAATTCCAAGCATCAGATGTTAAGGTTAGTGCATTTATGTTCTACATCTTGTTCTAAAATTCTTTAAATGTACGTTTTTCTTGGTTGAGATAGGAATTATTTTAGAATAATGCTGAGCTCCATCTTTTTCTATGCAGAAGGGGGCAGGGTTCATGGTAAATATAGACCACTTTCCATTTGATATTTGATTGTAACTAAATTCCCTTCTCATGTATACCTTTGTACCTTTAGTTTTATTTGCCACTGACATGTTAAGCTACCAGGTTTCTTGTCTATTACTGTTGTGATGTTAATCTTCCTTTTATAAAGTTATAAATTGATTGTAATTTTGTTTAAAAAATAAAGCTACTGATTTCCTTCTTCGTTTTCTTTTTGTCTGACCTCGTTGCAGCTCTTACAAAACATGTTATTATTTCAATATCTTATCAAAGTTTTTGAAGGAGATTTCTTACCTCGTAAAGGTGTGTATGAAGTTGAACTTGATATCTTCAGTGCCTATTCTTATGTTATAAAGTTTTAAGTAAATATTTTCTGCTACAGCAACCATGGACTGGAACATTGAGAGGGAGTCCTTGCTCAACATGCTACTGGTATATATGTTTTCTGAAGCCAAAGCTTTGAAAAAGTTTGTGTAAATGGTCAATCCGCAACATAGCAATAAATGGCTAGTCAGTTGAATACTATCACTGTTCTTCCAATCCCTTATTATTGAGATCTCGTGCTCCTTGAATCCACCTTTTCGAAGGTGGCGTTACTTTCATTTGCTGAAATATATTTATAATCTGATTTGTTTGCAGGGATCAAGGAAAATAAACTACAAGGCCTTAATGAAGATTTGTTTGACAGTTATTTATCAACTATCTCAGCTTAAAAATGAACTCAATAAATATATGGAGCGTGAAGAGGTTACTGAATCTTGCTTATCCAAAAACTGTGGTACTGCATTGTCCATTGCTATGGTTGAAGTAGGAAATAATACCTGCGTCTCTATGGAAAAATTCATTGTCATGGTAAGTTCCGGAGTATCATAACCAACTCTCTCTCTCTCTCTCCTCTCTCTCTCTCTCTCTCTATATATATATATATCTCTGAAATAGCTCGCCTCTCTGCCCTGATATTCTGATTTAGATAATGGAGCTTGATATGTCGAGGAACAAAGCGGATCTTGCAGGTTATACTACAAGGGCTGATGGGTCCAGGTACCATTTTTGGGTCTCTGCTTAAATTTTACTGATAAGATTCCAGATAATATTCCCATGAAGACTTATCCAAGAAGAAAGCGTCAAAAGATAAATTCAGATTGATTTCATTGTTTATTTTGCTCAGTATTTGATATTTCTTTAGATTTAGTATTTTATTTAGTCAGATTTTATTCTCTAGATTTTATTTAGATCTAGTAGCTTATCTATTTAGATTTTATTCAGTATTTTAGATTATAGGAGATATTATTTAGTTATTTAGTTATTTTAGATTATAGGAGATATTATTTAGTTATCTAGTTATCTAGATTTTATCCATTATTTTAGATTGTATTTAGCATTATAAATATGACTAGCAACTTAGAAGCTATCATATCAGTTTATCAATAAAATAGTCTTTTAAACCCTTTGGAGATTCTCCTGAGCGTGGCTATTAAGAGAAATATAGAACGAGATTCTTGTTCTATATCATCCTAATAGAGTTATTCTTATTTTAGTTATTCTGAGCACCTATCAATTTGGCATCAGAGCCATGGTTACCACACGTACTAGCCAAGAAACCAACCCTTCTGACAATTCGTCCAACAATGACCCAGAAAATCCAAATTCACTTATGTCAGATCATTTGGCCAAAATCGCACAGCAACACGAAACTCTTGATTTATTAAAAGAGAAGGTAGAAGCACGCGAAGCCTCAGCAATCAATAAAAACAAGAAACCTGGAGAAGCACGCCGCAGGCACTATTATGAAGATGAAAAGAGCGAAGACGAGCAAGAAAATCGCAGGCGCACCAGATTTCATCACACCAAAATTGAATTCCCAAAGTTTAGTGGAGGTGATCCACGGGGATGGATCTTAAAGGCTGAGAAGTACTTTAAGTATTACAACACACCTAAAGAAGAGAAGGTGGACGTAGCCTCACTGGCACTGGAGGGTGACGCACTAGAACTGTTTGCATGGATCAGTCATGAACGAACACTCAACTACTGGGACGAGCTCGTGACAGCATTCCAAGAGAATTTCGGACCACTTGAATACCAAAATCCGGATGAATTTCTTTGCAGCATTAGGCAAGAAGGTTCAGTTCAGGAATATCGCACAGAGTTCGCCAAACGATCGTCGAGAGTCAAGAATTGGCCGGAGCACTGCTTGCTCAGCGTTTTTCTGAATGGGTTAAAAGAAGAATTACGATCAGATGTCAGAATCCATTAACCACGATCAGTTTACAGAGCAGTAAGTTTGGCTCTGGAGATCGAAAGCAAAACGCAGCTTACCCGGACGAGACCCAGCTTGATCCAGACCCAAACCCGCTATCCTAACCCGAGCCCACCAGGGGCACGTGACCCGAAATACGCTGAAGTTACCTTCTCGACGTCTTCGCAGAGGACATCAACGCCATCGGGACCCAAATTAGCCAGCGTAGTGTCGACCAAAAACTCCTCTATGGATTTCGAACACCAACGCAGGAGAGACAAGGGGCTGTGCTTCCGATGTGGTGACCTCTTTTGGCCTGGGCACCGCTGTCAGGGATCCTTCTCCCTCATGGAGATTACAGAGGAAGGCGATGAGGTTGCCCTTCCTCTTGAAGATGGTGAACTCGAGGAAATAAGGACAGAAGGGGCAGAAATTTCATTAAATACTATACTGGGTAGCAACACAGGGTCAGCTATGAAACTTAAAGGCACGTTGCTTACAAAAGAAGTGCTATTATTAGTAGACAGTGGGTCTACTCATAATTTTATATCAGACTCATTGGTACAAGAACTGCGTCTTCCTACTCATTATATTTCTGCATTTGGAGTCCAAATTGGGGATAGCAGTATTGTACGGTGCAATCGAGTATGCAAAGATGTGAGAGTTAAGCTCACAGAACTGACTATTAAGGAAGATTTTTTCCCTTTTTCCTTGGGAGGAGCCGATCTGGTGCTGGGCATTAAGTGGCTAGCATCTCTGAATACGGTGCAAGCTAACTGGAATGAACTCTTTATGATTTTTTGGTTGAATGGCAAGCGGTATAAATTACAGGGAGTCCTTAATGCTACTAGTGGTGCTCAATTTAATTCAATGCAAGAAATAGAAGCTTCCGCTAACTCTACACCTCTTCAATGTTTCAATCCAGAATCTTTATTTGCAGAATTTCCATCTGTATTTGAAGAACCTTCAAACTTACCACCCTTTAGAAATCACTCACATGCCATTCCCCTACTGCCAGGGGCCAACCCTCCCAATTTACGACCCTACAGGTATCCATATTATCAAAAGGCCGAGATTGAAAAGCAAGTTGAGGAGTTACTTAAAAAGGGGTTTATTCAGCCTAGCTCAAGTCCATTTGCCAGTCCAGTTTTATTGGTCGCAGAGAAAGATGGTTCGTGGCGATTCTGTGTTGACTATCAGAAATTAAATGCCATTACAATCCCAGACAAGTATCCAATTCCCAACATTGATGAGTTACTAGATGAATTATACGGGGCAATCTATTTTTCCAAATTGGATTTACGTTCTGGATACCACCAAATCAGGATGCTACCCGAGGATATTTACAAAACAGCATTTCGTACTCATTCAGGGCATTATGAATTCACAGTTATGCCTTTCGGCTTAACCAATGCCCCAGCGACTTTTCAAGCAGCTATGAACGACTTATTTTGTCCTTATTTGAGAAAATTTGTGCTGGTCTTCTTTGATGATATTTTAATATATAGTCCCTCTTTTCAACAGCACCGAGCTCACCTGCGTATCATCTTGCAAACCCTACAGGAAAATGCATTTTGTGTCAATTTAAAACAATGCTTTATGGGGAAACCAAAAGTTCCCTTTTTAGGGCACCAAATTTCTGCCCAGGGAGTTGAAGTTGAGATTGAAAAGGTGGAGGCAGTACGAGAATGGCCTATTCCTAACAATGTAAAGGAGTTACGTGGGTTTTTAGGCCTTGCAGGATATTACCGGCGTTTTGTGAGGAATTTTGGGATTTTTGCACGACCCCTTACTGAATTGACTAAGAAGGATGCCTTCTTATGGTCTGAACTAGCTCAAAAGGCCTTTGACAACCTTAAACGTGCACTGGTGAGGGCACCCGTCTTACAGTTGCCCAATTTTGAGGAGGACTTTACAGTTGAATGCGATGCATCTACAGAAGGGATTGGAGCTATACTTATGCAAAACAACCATCCTATTGCTTACTTTAGTAAAGGGTTCTCTTTCTCTAACCGCTTCAAGTCCACTTACGATCGTGAACTCCTAGCTCTAGTGCTTGCAGTACAAAAATGGCGCCATTACCTCCTAGGGAGGCACTTCTTTGTCAAAACGGATCATGCTAGCCTTCAATATCTATTACAACAACGAATTACTACTAACACTCAACAGAGGTTGATCATCAAGCTCTTACCCTTTAATTTTACTATCATCTACAAGGCAGGAGTAGAAAATAAAGGGGCAGACGCATTGTCAAGACGTCCACAGCATGCAGATTTTTTTCAATTGGCCGTACCTTTTGCTTCTGAGTTAGATAATCTCTCCCTTGAGTTGGCATCGGATCCCTTCACTAACGTCCCGACCTAGATTTCACCTGGTTAATCAAAAACTTTTCTATGACAACCGAGTAGTCATTCCTTATTCATCACAATTGCGACCAAAATTACTAGCAGAAGCCCATTCGACTACTATTGAGGGACATGGCAGCTTTCTTAAAACATTTAAACGCCTTTCGAAGAATTTCTATTGGCCTGCAATGAAAGCAGATGTGAAGGCCTATGTGCGACATTGTGCCACTTGTCAGCAAAATAAGTACCAAACGTTGGCACCAGCCGGACTTCTTCAACCTTTACCTATACCCTCGCAAATTTGGGAGGACGTTTCACTAGATTTTATCACAGGTCTTCCAAAGTCTGGCAGTGTTGAGGTCATCTTAGTAGTAGTGGATTGGTTGAGTAAGTATGCCCATTTTCTTGCTCTCGCGCACCCTTACACTGCTAAGAAGGTGGCCACAATCTTTTGTGAGGAAATTATCCGACTACATGGGGTACCTCGCTCAATCATCTCTGATAGGCACCCTATCTTCATGAGTTCCTTTTGGCAAGAATTATTTAGATTGAGCCAGACTAAGTTAAAGATGAGTACTGCCTACCATCCCCAAACAGATGGTCAAACAGAGGTAGTCAACCGCGGTTTGGAAGCCTATCTGCGATGTTTTGCACATGAGCAACCCAAGTCTTGGCACAAATTTCTTTGCTGGGCTGAATACTCGTACAACACAAGTCATCATACATCAACCAACCATTCTCCTTTCAAGTTAGTTTATGGGCGAGATCCTCCTCCCCTACTTCCTTATATAAAGGGTGAAACACCTGTGGCTGAACTAGAAGAACAACTAGAGACCAGAGATGCAATGCTCAAGCTTCTGAGGGACGATTTGCGTAAGGTTCAAGATCGAATGAAGGCTTATGCTGACAAGCATCGGCGGGAAGTTGAGTACAATATTGGCGATGTTGTGTGGCTACGAGTACAGCCTTTTCGCCAACAATCGCTTACCAAGCGAAAGTTTGAAAAATTATCACCTCGCTTCTTTGGCCCGTACAAGATTCTTCGTAGGATTGGCAAAGTGGCTTATGAATTGGAACTTCCGGCAGAGGCTCGTATTCACCCTATCTTCCATGTCTCTCTTTTGCGCCAGGCTACAGGGATAGATCCACCACTCACACCCGCCCCCTTACCGCTTTCTGCTGATTTTGAGTTACATGTAAAGCCTCACCGAATCTTAGATCATCGATGGACTCGTCATCAGTCGCTTGAACTGTTAGTAGAATGGCATGACCGATCTGTGGAAGAAGCCAGCTGGGAGGACTACGATCTCTTGCACACTCAATTTCCCTCCTTTCAACTTGAGGACAAGTTGAGTTTTCAAGGGGAGGGTAATGATAAGATTCCAGATAATATTCCCATGAAGACTTATCCAAGAAGAAAGTGTCAAAAGATAAATTCAGATTGATTTCATTGTTTATTTTGCTCAGTATTTGATATTTCTTTAGATTTAGTATTTTATTTAGTCAGATTTTATTCTCTAGATTTTATTTAGATCTAGTAGCTTATCTATTTAGATTTTATTCAGTATTTTAGATTATAGGAGATATTATTTAGTTATTTAGTTATTTTAGATTATAGGAGATATTATTTAGTTATCTAGTTATCTAGATTTTATCCATTATTTTAGATTGTATTTAGCATTATAAATATGACTAGCAACTTAGAAGCTATCATATCAGTTTATCAATAAAATAGTCTTTTAAACCCTTTAGAGATTCTCCTGAGCGTGGCTATTAAGAGAAATATAGAACGAGATTCTTGTTCTATATCATCCTAATAGAGTTATTATTATTTTAGTTATTCTGAGCACCTATCATTTACATTGTTCTATTAAAAGAAAAATAAAAATTGCAGCTTTTCTTTGTCATGCATGTTTGAAGTAAAGAGGTAATATTGTACTTTGGTGCAGAACACCTTTGGTGGATATAATTTTGGATGAACTAACTTACAGTCAGGATATTGTCCCACAATTTCTTCAGGTCGCTTCTAACTCTCCTGAATATTTTCAGTATACTGATTAAATGGCCTGATAATTCGTAGATAGGGTTAGGCCTTTCGTTAAGATACCTTTGCAGTAATGAAGGGCACGACCTGATAAGGATTTAAAGCAAATTAATCTCTGCATGGTTAAGTGAATATCCACCATTATCTTAGCAACCTTGCGTAGGATTACTTCTATTTAGGTTTGAGTAGAGGCAATCACTTGTTGCTCATAAAAAGCCATGTTCATAGTTGAATAATAAATTTAGCGGTTATTTTCCCAATGTAACATCTGTTTTAATGTGCACAACTGTCAGAGGCCTGATTTTTCATGTTCTCTGAGCTTCTATGCTTTCAATTCAGTTTGTCCTTTGCGGGTTTATAAAGCTTGTCTGTGATGTTATGACTAATGATTTATTCATTTGATGTGAATGGCATCAGATCTTCGCTGAACCTAAATGGAAGCTGGAAATAGTTGTGCAGTATCTCTGGAAGTATATAACTAAGGTAGTCAACACTCAAGCTGTTCATTGTCTGGCAACTAAGTCTGCTTAATGGCTTGTTTTTAGAGATTGAGGAGACTCTAGTGGCAGTAGCTTTTTGATTATAACTTTTGTGTGACTGCTTTGTTTTATATTGGATTACTCGATGGGCCTTTCATCTGATGAGAAAGGCCATTGTTTAAACTACTTTCTCATTTAATGTTTTGATTTCTGTAATGCAACAATGCAGCCATCTGTTCGCACTCGTAGAAAAAATGGTTCGGCTGAGGATGAAACGTTTAGTGGGGCCTTGAAATTCTTTTCAAATAAGGCCACCACTAAGAGCACAATTAAAAAGATTGATTCAGACATAGTTCAGTTCCTTCTAGCTCATGGTTTTCAGGTACTTTCTCGTCAAAATATGTAATTATTGAATTTTTTTTTTTCATTGCTGTGTCAATGTAAGCTAGGTGAAGTCTTTGTAAAAGCATAAAATTCAATAATTGATCAACAATTCCTCTGAAAAAATTTCTACAACTTTCACCAAATTTAGCTGAGTTATGGAAGAACAACAGGCATCTATCTCAGTTTCTCTTGACCTTGATTTTAAATAATCTTATAGGTTAAACGGTTTCCTTGCAGACCAGTCATATGCTTCCTTTATTACATAGCCTGTACTTTTTATGCGTAATAAAAATAAAAATTTGACTGACAAGTAAACAATCCTCTTGAACTCTTTCGATTTAATTAGTGTCCTGATAAGACTCTAATTCAGCAGTTACTTCAAAATTTTCTAAACTGAACCAATAAATCCTTAAAGCGTAGCTTTATCATTTTACTGAATGGGTTTTGTTGTTCTTAGGCTCAATTGTCAGTCTTGTCAGAAGGACACGCGGAGGACAAAATTGCTGGCCATGAAGAAGAGCGGCTTAGTGCCCTTGTGGATATGTGCCAGAGCTTTATCTCAGCTTTTGATTGTTTGAGAAGCACGGATGAGTAAGGAACATGCTATTTAGAAGTATTAATTTCTGCAGAAATAGAACTGTGCTTTTAGTTTTGCTGACAAGGGATTTCACGAGTCCTGGACATAGATTTACCTGAGTTCCCTCCATCTTTCTGAGAGATTTAAGTTTAGGAAAACACAATTATCGGTCCTTGTAGTTTATCGAGTTTTGCTTTTAGTCTTTGTGGTTTTTTCTGTGTTTTCAGTCGCTACAGTTTTAATAAGATTATGTAACGTTTGTTACCCAGGCCTCTGTAGGATTGAAAACATTGAAAAAAAAAAATTATAGGAATTAAAAGCAAAAGTCGATAAAACTTTAGGGGTTAATGATCGTGTTTTTTCTCTAGGTTTTAACAAATGGATTTTAACTCTGAACTTGCCTGTCCTGGTGTAGGCATATGGAGGTTCTGTCCGTTGGAAAAGAGGCACTGTTTACTGCAGCAACTATCATCTCCATGAAGTCTTAGTAATGTTTAAATTAAAAATTCAGCATCAACTTGTGAAGATTGGGCCACAGAAGCTTATGAAGGTGAGGATAAAATAGGAACAAACTTGGGTTACATGGAACGTATTAGACTTCCATGAGCATAGATGTGCTGTTTTTGAGTTCCATGCTGTCCAGTTCCCATGTATTAAACGTGGCATTATCACTCACCAAACAATGCAATCATCTTTTTCCTCTTCATTTTTCCCTTTCCAAAGCCCCAAAGTCTTTCATATCAGGCCATTTGGGGAAAGAAAAATTTGTGTGAGACGCTAGAATGTTAGGGGCATGATCAAATTTAGAACACCTTGCGAGCCTGCTTTACGTATCTGACATTGCAGGCTGTGGCTGTATGAATGAAGGTGAGAGAGCAACATTCTCTATCTCTTCTAGTTAAGAGTAAAATCCCTCTGGTGAAAGTAAAAACTCTTTTATCTATTCATCTCTTATAAAATTATTGCTTTAAAAGATAACTATTTATATACATATATCCAGTCATCTACATATAGCTATCTGCGTTCATATATATAGAGCTGTCGAAACAGGCCTGTGGGCCTTTAAACCCTCATATCCTGAAATTCTTATTGTTTTCAAGCGGACTTTAATTGACAAGGTCTAAGACCATATTTGAAAGCTCGCATGATTTTTTTCAATTTAAGTTTCTAATTATGATAAGGCATATATAAGCTTCAAAGGACTAGAAAAATATTCAAGGAATTACAATCCAAAGTTTAAATAGAATAATACAAATGCAAAAATAAAATATAAACTTTACAAGTCTAAATTATCATAAAATGAAGCAGCACAACATTTTCAATCAAATAATTAGACATAACAAAAGTATCACAATCAGGGAGGGTGATTATATCTCCAATGTAAGAAACTCAGATAATATTCCAATAACATAAATATTGCAATGGAGGAGCAACGCAACTCCCAAGTCTATAACAGGAATTATTAGAGTTAGTCTAAACTATTTTTTTACAAGTTTACTAGGTTGGGCTAAAAAATTATTTTATTTTAAACATAAACAAATGATAGAAAAATATATTTTCAGCTTATTTTGATAAGTCAATTGAATTAGCTTACCAAAATGGATTGGAAACAAATTTTTCAGTACTATGTCAAAAATTCATTTAAATTTTTAACTAAAAAGTCAACTTTGAGTGAAGAATAACGTTATCTGGCAATTATGATATAAATGTCCACATATCCTACTGGGCAAAATGACCTGAAATCGCTGCTAATGGAGCCAATAATATGCTTCTGATCTCTATATACCATATAATCTTTCATATTAAATTAAATATAAATGTATTTAAATATATCCTACTAGTGGTTCTCTCGGTGGATCCATAAACCTACAACTAGATGGGTCTTCATCATGGGCTTCTAAGGCACATGTCAGGCCTCATTAGTGGAATAAGTCTCGTTGCTTTATTTTCAAAAAAAAGAGTCTCTCGTTACTCGTCCCTTGCAAAGTTGCAATTACATATGAGCGATCAAACCTCGAGTTACAGAAGTCCGGGGTCCGAGGTTGATCGAAGTTCATCCCCATATAATCCAAAGAGTCTAGACCTTTCGATGGCTCAGTTTAGTTAATACCTGACACCAGAAACCATAGATTGCGAAGTGATCGGGTAAAGGCGGGGGCGAAATGTTCGATGAAATTCTTGATTGGATTCAACTTGCTCATTGCGAGAGCTTGTAGTCTAGCACCCACCAAGAACACCCGAGGCCGTGAAGCCTGGGATTCAGCCTCTCCAAGTCATTTGGCAGTCAATAATGCAACGGCTATCTTCAAGAATTTCACGGGGCGTAGCCTATGCAGCGAAAACTGTGTTATGCAATGAATCACCCGTTTATTCTTCTCCGAAATGCATCTGCTCTGCGGTTTCCATGGGAGCAACTGTCCAAAAATTGCCAAAGCTGGATATTCCAGGCGATTTCCTGAAATGGGCCTCGCTTGGCTTTTGTAGGACATCCAGATTCGCCACTGGTTTCACCCCATTGCATCCCAAGCCATTGGATTCTATTGTGGATTTTGAGCGAGTAAAGGATCGATCGCCTGAAGAGATTGCTTCGATCTGGGACGACGTAATTTTTCATTTCTTTGGGTTATATTTCCTGCACTATGCCTTATAACGTGTTGCTCTGCTTAAATTTGTTTCAGTTGTTCTGAACTTGAAACAAATGGGATTTGATACGACCAAGAAGGCTTGAAGTCTTTTTAATCTTCTTATTTGTTATTTTTCATCCTTTGGCCTTCTGTGGAATAGATACCTTTGACAGTTTCTATGAATGGATAAAATGAGACCTGTAGCGTTAGCCAAGCTGCTTTTCTCCATTGTCTTCTTCATATATTATGTGCTACATATTTCTATATGTGGATATCTTCATTATTATGGCAAGTCCATTGCAATTCTGAATTGGGGTAGAATTTCCGAGTTTTGATAAAGCTTGTGCAAAACTGCCTAACAACTTTGTTTTAAATTGTTTCTTTTTTCATTTCAATTAAATGATTTGGCTGGTTCTATTTTAGCATCACCTGGGAAGAGGTCATATTGGAGCATCTATGAAAGCAAAACTTTACCACTTGCTGGAGCAAAGAGCAGAGAGTTGGTAGTGTCATTTTACTCTGCATTAGTGTTATGGGTTTGTTTTCCTGCATTTCATGTTCTGGAATCTCAACTTTGTTCATTGACCAAAAGAAATCTCAGCTTTGTTTATTCCTGGCAGCCGATATTTTGTCATTCCTTTGTGGCGGGGAAGTGGTTATACGACAATGTTTGCTCAAGGTTTGGAAAAAATATACTGACCCTGATCATTTATTCTGATAATTAATCATTACTGTGACTTATAACTGAGTTCTAACATGTGGTGTGTGCGGAAAACCTCCTCTACCATAAGAGTGGTTGATTGTTTGAGGCAAATGGGACGTACAAGAGAGAGCTTAAAAAGACTGAAGTTAAAGAAAGGCACTTCATTATATGTTTCTTACCAATAATAAGAAATGAACCGAAAGGTTTAGTTTACATGCCCTTATGTCAAAGATATAATAGTAATTGATGGATGGTGTAACACTTGATGTATTTTTTAGATGAGAAAATGGATTTGTTTTAAATTTTAAGATATATATATATATATATATGTATATATGAGGAGATGGTTTGCTAAATATCTTTGGGCTTACAATCTAAGGAAGTTTTTAGATGATGTCTTTTGCAAATTTTAACTTGGAAAAGGATCGGAAAATGATTATGAAGTAGCAAAGGAAAATCTTTTCCCCCCATTTTTTCGTTTTGCTTTTGGTGAGGGCTGAAGCTAAAGATACTACCATTTTTCCATCTTTTGCATTGTACTTTCCTTTACTGGGGTGCATGTGCTGAAATAAAACATCAGTAAAAAGAGATTCTTTGTTGTTGACTTTGTTATGTACTGTTAGCTGATCTTATTTTGTACACGCTTTTCTTGCAGTGCAGATGCCACACATGATTTTCACTGGTCTTGAAGATTATAAGGCCAGGGGAACTCAAGCAGCTCCTTACCTGACTGTGTCCTTTTACAAAGAATTTGCAGAGAGCAAGGATTTGGTACTTATCCGTGGAGATGTAGTATTTGCTAGCAAGGTTAGTGACTCAGAGGCAAAATGGCTTATAGAAACGGCTCAGTCATTTTATTTGAATGATATGAGGTACAAGTTGGTTGAAAGGTTCAACAAAGAAACGCGAGATTTTGAGTTCAAGGACGTGTTGCAAGCATTGGGCATGCCGATCTTATGATTTCTGACTCGATCAGCATGTGGAGAAACTTAGGGAATCTTTTTCGTGAGGGCAGAAATTAATTACATTCGGCATTCTTTTTTTGGGTCAACTTCGTGTTCGTTGTTTGTTCCCCTTTTCTTAGATTGAATTCTTAATTATCGTGGAAAATTGCTTCGTTAAAACTTATTCCGTGTAAGAGTGAAACCATCGCCTTGAAATCCGAATTCCCAGTCACAGGAATTTGTTATTTACTCTTCTTTTTTTGGGAGAAAAGAAATTTGTTATTTACTCTTTCGATTCCATTTAGTACCCCTCGAAACAAAAAAAATCCTCCTAGTAGAGATGGAAAATAAACCGTGGCATTTGATTCAAGTAGTCTAAATAGTTGCATTAGCTTATTTTGGAATGTTTGAGTTCTGAAATATACAATCATGATAAATAAATATGTTAAAAATATATTTATAATAATAGTCCCACAACTGGTGTTAACTTATAATGCATTGTGGTTACATCGCTAGTTGGCATTGGCTTCCTTTTCAAGGGATTAAGCATCTAATAATTATTTTGCCCTTGCTTATAAATCGCTCTCATTCTTTTGGGTCCAATATCAGAGTCAGTTAATTAGTCACTTTTTTATTTGGGCAGCCATTTATAGAGTTTACTCTTTTAACTCTACACTAAACTCATTATTTTTATCAATAAAGACTGTTTTAGCTGAGAAGGATTTAGTCTATATTTTTATAAGGTTATGGGTTTAAATCTTATTGGTGATGTGAAGATATTGCTGGTGAGACTCTACATTAAGCTCATTACTTTTATTAATGAAGATTGTTTTAGTTGAGAAGGATTTAGTTTATATTTTATAAGATTGTGAGTTCAAATCTGATTATTAATGTGAAGATATTGTTGGTGAGTAATTTATAAGTATCTTTGTAAACATTCTATGAGCCTGAAGATATACCTTGGTCTTGTTTAGCTTTTAGGATCTAACCTATCTAAACTTTTTATATTAAAAAAAAAGCTCATTAGGCACAAATAAAAATTAAAATGTGAAATTATTTGAGAATGGCCAAAGAAATGGGGATAATGATGTGTGTGTTATCAAAAAAGAGATAATGATGTGTATGTAGCAACTAAAATTCAATTTTTTTTTTCACTATAACTACACAAAAGTTGAAAATGTAAAGCATGACGGCTATAGTTGAGTTTGGAGTCATACGATCATAACTATTAAAATTGTAATAGTAATAATTATAAAATGAGTTGGATCATCCCTTTTTTTCCCAACCAGGATCATCAATACATGCACGCACGTATATTATAACTAGGGTTAAGGGTCTTTTCCTCCCTTCAATTATACTCGAAAGATCACTGAGAACATTAAACTCAATTTGAGATCAATTTTATCTCTAAACCTTTAAAATGTGAATCATTGTGTTCCTGATGTTAACTTGCCCTCATCCACCATTAATGGGTCCTACCCATTGTATGGAAAATTGAACTAGATTGGCAGGGTTACGGGACTCGGCCTCTCCATCGATCCGACTTTAATCTTGACCCAATCAGCGAGTGGCCCAGTATGACCCAACCAACTTGGGGTCAACTCAGTGTAAATCAAATAACCCAATGTGTTAGCTAGGTCAATTAGGTAACCTATTTTACCCTTTAAAAACCCCTAAAAATTTCTATTTTGCCTTTCAAAATCCCTAAAATATAACATTTTAGGGTTTTTTTAAAAAGAAAAAATTGAAAAAGCAAAAGGGCAAAAAGGCTTCGCTAGTTTTGTTTTTGAATTCTAAAATCAATCGATCAAACGAACCCACACCCCCACCAATTCTGGACACTCATCTCTAGCCCTAGCTCAAATCAAACCCTACCCATCGGTCATCAACCATTATCGCTACTTGTTCTATCGTTTTCGCTCTCCTAAGCTCCTGGCTTTCCTAGTTTGAACTCTATCTCTCTCGCCATATAGCAAAAGTTCAGAACTCATTGTAATCATGATACATAACTCGTGTCGCTCTTAGCTATCCTCTCTCTCGCCATGAAGCAAAACTTATCATGAAGCAAACCTTGTCGTAACATTGCTATCCTCTATCTCTCTCAGTAAATCTCCTCATCATCTAGTCATTAGTTTTCTGATTGCTATGCCTCTTCTTTCTCTACATTTTCAATTTGTCTATTATTACTTAGCATTTCTGATTGTCTTTGTCAATTGTTGTTTTTTTATTATTGTTGGACTTTTAAGTGGTTATATTTCTATAATTATTGTTGTATTGCTATCTTGTATTAAAAATTAATTTTGGATTTGGTTAAATATTTTTATAATTAATATCTTTTTATTTAAATTGTATTATTTTAATTATGATCAATTTGACCTCAACCACTAACTCGTGACCCAATACCTTGACTAGTTAAATGACCGGTCTAGTTTTAAGTACCGTAGTCCTACCAAATGTTTCTATAGCCGAACTGGATATTGAACCAGGAAGATTAGCAATTTATGGTTCGTATAGTTTAACCGGGTTTGACCAATAGTCAAACCAGTAGCATAATAATTAAATTAACAAAATTATATATGTATATAATAATCTAAATATAAGAAATAAATATGAAATTGCTACTTAACTTAAAAATATTTTAAGTTTATTATTACTTAACAAGCTACATGATACAATATAACATCAAATAATTAAAAAAAATTGGTTATTTTCTAAAAAAATTTGATAAAAAATTAAAAAAAATTGAATATTTTGAACAGTCCAGTTTTTCAAAACTAGATTCAGTTCCCAGCTTGAACATGGTTTCTGGTCCGACTGTCAGTCCAAAACAGCCCAACCTAACTCAACCCTCAAAACATTTTTTACATGATGACCGAGCTAAAATTCAAACTGGTCCAACCGTTTGGCCCAGTCTAGTTTTTTAATCAATCTACCAACTAGCATTTTTTTATTTTTTGGACCTTGTCTCTCTGACCACTCTCTTTCCGTCCACATCACCTCTTTAACTTCTTTCTCTTTTTCTACCTGCTTTATTCATTAACAGCAATCTTTTGTGGCTGGTGAAACAGAGCATTTGAATATTAACTATGGTGCTAGGAGAAGAAGCAAGGCTATGGAGGAAGCCATAGATATATACCAAGGGGCACACATTAATTATTTTTTTACTCCTCTCACTTCTCCCCCCCTCCCTCCCTGCTCTTACACACACTTATATACCAAGAGGCACAAGCTCTCCTTGCCTTGTCTTGTTGTCACGGCCATGACGTTAACCTCATCAAGCATCTCTAACAAACACCTCAATGCTAGTGGAGATTACGACTCCATCTCGTCCACAACAACCACTCATAGTAATGATGAGAGCAACGAGGAAGAGGAAGACATGGATAATTGCTTAATTCTCTTGACTTAGAGCAAGGATTTCTCATCATCTTAAGCTCCGACCTCAATACCATGGCCATCCTTGAGGTCTATCTCATCCAGCATGACCACTCATAATTATGATAAGAGCATCAAGGAAGAGGAAGACATGGCTAATTGCTTAATTCTCTTAGCGTAAAGCTAGGATTCACATCATCTTGAGCTCAAACCTCAATATTAGGGCCATCCTTAAGGTCCATGATGCAATAGCATGCTATGACCCAAGTTGTGATCCACTAATATCACTCTTTACTTTACTTTCAAACACTTCACAAACTCCATCAAAGGCTCTACCTACTTTACAAATGAGCTCAGCTCATGCACATGCTTGGGATGGGTCCCACAGGCAACTAGGTCAAGAGCTATTACTCTTTGGTCTTGAGATTTTAGAAGAGGGATCAGCTTGCAGTATGAAGATGCAAGCATTTTGAGCTATGTTCATGTACTCTGCTACTTGTGCACCTGATAGAGGTGGGTGGCCTTTGTGCTATTGAGGTGGGTAGCTATGCGACACGAAGAGAGGCACAATTCGTGCATGTGAGAGAGAGAGAGAGTAGGGGAGGGGACAGAAGGAGACAGATAGGGAGGGAGAGAGGTAATATTTTTATAATAAAAAAAATATAAAATGTAAAGTGGGATCTACCAATAGTCAACAAATGGTCACAACAAGGCATAGTCATGAAAAAAGGGAATATTTAATTGTGAGAGAAAGAATTGATCATAGTTGAGTTTAGAGATCTAATAACTTTTTTGATAAAGTTGGGGAGGCAAAAATGATAAGAATTGGTAATTTAAGTGAGTTAGACTTATTTAAGTTAAGTTTAAAATATCCAAACTTATAAAAAGGTCCATATATAGCCAAGCCAAAACTAATATCATTAGGCTTCAAACTTATTTGAGCCAGCTTGAATTTTCAAAACTTTTAAAATTATTTTTTCTCCTTTTTTAACTTGAAGATTCATTTACATCATTAACAAAGATGAAACCTTGCTTGATTATGATGCATACTTTCTAATTAAAAATTCCCAATAAGAACAAAAAATGTAGAAAGGAGCTACATGCTACAACTTTTATGGTGTTTCCACCACATAATGCCATCAGTCTCTAAGGCATGCTTTAATTTTTTATATGAATAATAACTTATAAATTTTTTTCCTTCATAGACTTTAAGCCAACCTGTTGTCTGGAAAAGACAAAAAGGGAAAGTTCAAGCCCACCTTTAGTAAATTTGATAACAATTGTATTAACGAGAAAAGATTTAATTTCTTTTAATTAAAATTTTCAAATGTATATTGTAGATGGAAATAAAATTATATTGAGAAAACCATCCCAACTAGAATCCTAAATATTTATTAAATTGAGAATCCTAGGCATTTAAATTTGATCAAATAATACTAAATAATAATAGCTTAATAGAAAAATAACTATAGAAAAATATTTCAATGTAATTTATAAATTGAATGCAAAAAAGAAGGAAAAATTGAAAAAAAAAACCTAATCACCAAATTAACTGGGAAAAAAGGACTAAAATTGCGTAATAATAAGAAGGAAAATAAAACGTAGAATCTTTAAAGATAAATTGCAGATTGTAGGAAAAAAAACTTACAGATTTTGAAGTTGGTCCTTTCCTTTTATTAATTTAGCACCTTTCCCTTTTTTCAATTTTTTTAAAAAAGGAAATAACTGTTAAAAAAGAAAGGAAAAATTATAGCTAAGGACTGTTGGAGAAAGATATTCACAACTGAGGACCAATTGAATTTGAAATTACACTGCAGTCTGGGAGGTCCTAACTATAATTAATTCATACTGAGAAAAGACAAAAACACCCTTGT